TCAATGCTTTGTAAGTGGGTTATATATATATAAACCCAATATGCTGATTTTATTGCCGGCCAGTGAGATGGAAAGGGAACTGCATCAAAACTGATGCGTGACCAGATTCGAAGCAGGTGGTACAATAAGACAAGCAATTTTTCACCTAGTCACGTCAACAGTAGCTTATTGCTGTGTGGTTGATTTGAGTTAGTGTAGCAGTTGAACTGGAGATCCACGCTGTCGTCCGTCGAGAGCTGTCCGAAGAAGTAGATGGTGATTTGCGCAGAACTGCAGAAGTCTGTCGACGTTATCCATTCGTTGGCAGGGCAGAGAACAACCACCACCTAGGCAGGCTTCCGATGCGCTTGAGTTTCTAACTTGTATTTTAAAATCGCCTGGAAATAGAACTATGTCGAAGCTTAGATTCAGTCGAGTGAGCTCGTAGAAATTGTCCTTTTGTGTATCAGAACTGCAATCGGTTGATGATGCTTCCTTTCTGGAGACTGAGTGAACCCTTGAGACGCATCGCGTATAAAGGACTGTTCACAGGGAACCGACATATAAGAGAGGCTTTGACTCAATAAGAGTACAATACATACCTCGTGGTGACCCTCTGAACAGGATTCGTCGTCGCCTGGTGTGTAAAATAAGTACCTCAAGGACCGATCCGGTGCACTCAAGTTGGCTAAAGCAGTGGGATCCTGAATTAGTCTCCGATAAGCAAGACACATCGATTCCTGAGGATTCCATTAAACTTGTCAGACTAGCTTGTCCACCCAACTGCTTCAGAATCATCAATGTTGGTGTTAAACTAGGCACAACCCTACTTGGCGATGAGCTTTGGAAAGCGACGAAAATGTTGGCAGGAAGAAGGCTACGGAGCAAAAGAATAGGTCATAGAAGAGAGTTGAGCAGAGAAGATAAACAGTAAAACAAAAGTTAGGAAGTTTGAGCAGTAGCCCACTTATAACTGCACACCTCACTCGATGCAGTCAGCAGTGCTGTCCTGATTAACCTGTGCGACGACCGATTTCGTATGGTATTATATATAGTTATCACTTGCTTGGGAGCAAGCTTGGTGCCAACGCGACAACAAGAATAACAGAATATGGGGGGTCGGAATACAAAGCAAAGTGAAAGGGGGTCAAACAGTTAAGGTGAAAAAGGAGAATGACATTTTTTGTTTGTTTCACCGTACACTTATTATTTTTGTGTTTTATTTTATTGTTTTCCATGGGGTGCGGGATCACAACAAGTACACCGTACAGCATTCGCACGGCTGACTTCTATTCCGAGCCATATCTCAGCGTCTCTAACCAACGAAAATTCTCATCCTTTGGGTCCCAACCTGGAAGGAGGGTTGCACCAACCGAAGCCAAAGCTGAAGCTAGCTTTCTTATACCTCTACGCCAGGTCATGGTCTGACCGCCGTGGCGCTTCTTCCAGCAATGCCCAGTACATGCAAAGAGAGCACGCAAATGTAGTCAACGGAAGGAGATAGGTAAAACGTGACTAAGCCATCGGAGGCAGTGTAGAGCGATTATTCCTTTTAGAGAACGACTGATCACACTCAACACACGATGATAAACCTTATCATTGTTCAAGCTATGTTCTCAGCAGACACGAGTGATGCTTCGAATACATAAAGTCGATTAGAATCCTCAGCGCGGAGGGACTAGGTTTCGCAACCGTAAAGCAGAACACTACAAACCGCGGCCGTGTAAACTCTTAACTTAAGGGATAAACGGATTTCATGGCGGCACAGCGGGTGTCACAGGTTAGTGAATGTTGCTTTAGCTCTCGCTATTCATGATGTGATCTCCACAGACAACATCAGCTCCAGCTGCGATCAAGCTCATGAAGTACTTTAGGCTTTTAAACACTTCCAGTCGATCGCCACAGAGGGTGAGTGCAAAAACAGGTTTTTGATAGTTTTGAACAAGCACCTTGCATTTGGACATCATACCACATACCATACCTGAATACCCCGACCGCCAAGCGGTTCCGGGGCGCGCAACAACAACAACTGGATTTACCGGTGCACGGAACTTGCCGCAGATCGCAATGCATGGACGGCTACAATCAGAAACATTCAGGATGCCTACTTATCCTTACGCAGTAGAGTCGGGGAAAAATAAGTAAAGATTAGCACCGCGAATTTCGAGACAGCTGTTCAGCCTTCCATTTGTACAGATCGGGTTGCTGATTGCAGCGTGTGGGCGGTTGCGATCAGAGATATCCACATATCAGACTCATTATTGTGCGATAGTTGGTCGAGAATCAGTTTGTTTAAGTTCGCACAACCATTAACCATGCACTATACGGTTTGGGTTGCCATCTTTCGGCTGCCCATTTGGATGAACATTAGGAGAAAGACAGGAACAGTTGAAAGTAGGATCGAAGAGAAAATTGAAAAGTTCCGTGGATTAATGATATAGATAAATTGAGAAAATTCATGAACGCCACTGTTTACGACACGCAGTCATACTAATCAGTCTCTAACCATCGGGTACGAACATGCCGAGGTCCCCATCCAGGGAGCTAACGGGACCTGTGTGACCTAAATTCCTGATTAGGGTTTTCATACCCTCATGCCACGTCTTAGCTTGACCACCTTGGGCGTTCTTCCACCCACTACTTGCCTCGGTAAACATCGCTCACCGTGGCAGCCTATTTGGAGACATGCATAACACATGTCCCAAACAACGTAATCTATGGAAGTCGACCACTTGCTTCAGTAGGTGACCGCGGTTGCCTAAAACTTTTCGCCTAACCTCAGCAATGCTTATCCGGCTACCCCGCCAGATTTGTGCAATGCTGCATAGACAGCGGTATTCAAAAACCGACAGTCTATCTTTGTCCTGTTTTCTTAATGGTCAAGTTTCTGATCCGTATAGCAGAACTGGTCGAACTACTGCAGCATATACTCGACCCTTCACAGA